AAGACTCAAATGGTGACCTGTGGGAATATTTCCTTCTAGGCTGGGCTCTGCAGGATTAGGACTAAAGTCTGCATGGCACCGTCTTTGAGGAGATGTCTGCAAAATGAGCTCTGGACAAAGTCATGGAAGAAGCCAGACGCTCACTCACCCTGGTTCCTGGGCACACGGGCTCGTCTGCAGCCACAAAGCCACAGTTACCCCTGGAGACGGCGGGAGCCAGCGGCGCGTCGGGGCCACTCCTCCCGCGCTGCCGCTGGCCCCCCCGAGGGGCGCGGCGGGGTGCCCCGCAGAAGGCTGCGGGTGAGAAGCAGGAGGAGTTCAAGCTGGTGTACAGGTTCCCGGGGATGAGGTACTGCCGGGTGCTGTCGCGGCTGAAGCTGCTGCAGACTGCCAGCACCGCGGCCGTGCTGCCGCCCGTCTGCTGCCTCTACCTGCAGGGGCTGGTCTCGCAGGGCGCCCTCGCCTACAGCGCCGGCGTGGCGCTCTTTGCCGGGGTGATGCTGTACGGCATGAGCCACTTTCTCCGGCGAATTATTGGGTTGATCTACTTAAATGAAAGTGGCAGTACTGTCAAAGTGGCCCACCTGACGTTTTGGGGAAGGCGGAATGACATTTGCTGTCCCAGAGAGGCAGTGATGACTTTGGATGAAGTTGGAGATAACAAGGGGGAGCTGCTTCTCCAGTTCAAACGGTACAACAGCACGGAGGTTTTATATTTCACAATTAAGTATGGCCAGATTGTAGACAGACAGAAGTTTTCTCAAATATTTGGAGACTTTGAGTGATACGGCAGCTGATTGCCAGTGATTTTTCCCTGTTCCACGTTCATTGTGCTTATTGTGTCATTTTCCTGTGCAAAGCCTGCTGGGAAGTGCACTCGGTGTTGACAGTAGAACTGCCGAAGAACAGTCCCCTGGATTAATTCCCTTGGCAGCTTGTTTGAGGTGTGAGCAGCTCTCCCTGGTGTCTGGGCGATGCCCACGGGGCGCTGGCACCGGCGGAGAGGCGGCCAAATTACTGACCTGACTGACTGAGCTGCCCTCGGAGGCTGCTCTGAAACAGGAAAGCTCTTGAAGTGAAACACAGTAACTCGGCCAGAACATCCTCACTTTAAATTCATTGTTTCTTTCAGCAAATGTTTTTGCTTTTTTTTTGCTTTTCCCTTTTTTTTTTTTTTTTGTGTGGGTGGTTGGTGTATTTGGGTGCCTGGAGCAGGGGTTTAGGTACAAGGTGGTGTTTTTTTCCTTTAGTATACATACATCTTCATTATTTTATACCTCTTTAAATAAACTTGTTACACCTCTAACGATTTTGTTGTCTGTTTATAAAATGAGCCCTGCCCCTGTCTCAACCCGAGGCACTCAGGCGTATTGAAACCTCTGGCTTGCTGTGGGTCAGGGATGCATTAACTTCAATTGCTATTCCAGTGCACGGGCTAACCCTGACTTACCATTTATTTGTGTTAACTGCTTCTGATGGGGGCTCCGTGATGTCAAGCTTTGGCTGGTAGATGTAGTACAGCAGGAAATGGTTCCTGGCTGAAGCCCCCCGGCAGCGAAGGGCAGAGGCTGGGACCACCCTGCCCCACAGGAGATACTCAGCACCCACTTGTGAGCCAGCTGGGGCAGGAACGAGGTGTAACACAAAAAAAGCCCTGGAGAAGTTCAATTATAAATATTTTATTTAAGAATATTGATTACAGATGAGATGCCATTTGTTACGAACCCGTGTGCAGTTACTAGTTACACCATGAAGTGTAGTTAAGTATTTGTTTAAACATTTATTTGGCACTGTCCACAGTATGCTGTAAACAATATTAACTTTATATGCTTCAGCTGCAGTGCTTTCTATGTATTCTCTAACATGGTTTCATCGACATGTTGTACACAATTATACAGTTACTGAGTGTCAGTAAAAATTATAAAAACACCTAGAGTATTCATAACAAAAGTGAAGATGTGGTAAGACTTCAAATTACTGGACCTTTGCTTCTGTGAAAGTACAAGACTTGCTAGAGACGCGAACTAGAACTACTGCACTGATATGTTGACCAAACTAATTCCCAAAATACTGCCAAACACCGTTCTTGGTTTGACTGTGCTCTTGCTGATGATACACTTATGAGGACAGTGATGACAGCGAGGTCTTGGTGAACACCAGGTTACCAGTCCTTCCCCCCGATTTCTACAACCTCTGTTCAAAAACCTGCTCAGGTTCTGACCAGCTGGTACCAGAATTCTGGCTTGTGCAGAGAGGTTTACAGAAATCTCATTATTTTTAAGCTAGCAGAAGTGAATGTACTTGAGTTTCCCCATACCAGCACTCAAAATGGGAAAACCTTGAGCACTTCTCAAAGCAGGTTATAAACCTTTCACATTTTGGTAGCTGCATTGAACACGTAAATGTTTTAACTGCTCTGTCTCTTGCTACGTACTTAAAAATTGTGGTCAGGTCCTACTAGGACAACGGTGAAGTCCTCTGTGGTCCCTGTTTTTTAGTGCATAACAAAGTAAGTTAAACTTAGTATGCAAAATCCAGATGCTTGATAGCTAAGAAAAAAAAAAAACAAAAAAAACAAAAAGGCACCAGACTTAGTTGAAGTCAGCCTTAAGCAAATGGCACATATAGTAAAGAGACATCCAAATAAATTTTCTGAAGAGAAATTAATGAACTTTTTGATCCTGTGCCAGAAGAGCTGTGAGGTATCAGTGACTTAGAATAAACTATTAAAGAAAAATAGAATTACTTTGCATTATAGCTGTGCAGTTAGGACTAGGCTGTCACTGCAGTGGCTCTGATGTCAGGTCATGGCTGAGATCAAGCAATTCTGTGGTTTTACAGAATACTTCAAGTATTCATGAAGAACTTGTACTAGATAAATTAATGGCTACAGTGTGTTATGGGCAAATGTAGAATGATCTGTTATAGGTAGCTGACAAAGGTGGAAATGATGTGCTTCACCTGATTCTCTAAGCTTTGTCAAATCCCATGTCAGGGTATAATTTTCTCTGTTTCTGATTGTAAGACAAGTCAAAATGATAAACTCCAGGATGAGGAAGAAGTACCAGTGCTTCAGTCACCCTGCCAGTGCCAGGGCAGCTTGTGTAGGCTGGGCACAGGGCAGCTGATGTCACCCTGATCCTGGTGTGGCAGACACCTGTACTCAGGGGATAAAGCTGGAAACTAGGCTGTAAAATACCATACTTGGCAGTGGTGGGAAGCAGAGCGTTCCTGGAGACACTGGTGTCATTCCCACTGCCACTGGAGAAGGGCGCGTGGCTCTGAGGGCTGTGCCGGGCCAGTGGCTGCTTCTGACACGGGCACGTGCACTGGGATTCCCTGTGGCAACAGGCTGTACCAGGTCGTCCTTGGACAAACAGGCAGCCAGGGCTGGGAAGGACTCTGCAGTGAGCGTGGCCCAAGCCAGAAGATGGAGGGCCAGGGCTGGCAGGAACGCACAGTGTGGGACGGCTGAGGGACCTGCTGGTGACCAGTACCAGCGCTCTGCCGGGGTCGAGCTGGCATGGAGCAGGGTTACAGACAACACAAACCTCAGTTTATGACTTTACACTTATCTTGTAAGTAGAGAAGACATGAATTAATGCAAACTAATTTCATAATCAGCTGTTCAGTGCAACGAACTGCTTTTTACTTGAAGTTTGCCAAGATGTCACTGAAGATGTTGAGGAAAAGGTGTGCGTGATGGTCCTTGAAGATCAGCGTGGGACGGAAACGAATGGATCTGTCACCACAGCCTCCCAGCACAACCCCTGCAAGGAGAACAGAGCAGGCCCTCCAGTCACTGCAAATGGGGCACCTCGCTGCAGAGGCCAACAGCAGCTCCCAAATAACTGATCACCAACTGCAATGCAGCACAGACAGCAGTGCAGAGGAGACTCAAGATTCACAGGAACTCCAGAGAACACCACAACTGCCTGTAGCTGTTCTATAAGACTCCTGGAATGCTGGAACTAATACCACTGAACCTGCACCACTCTATGGGCAGTGCCAGAACAAGACACAGCAGGTTTTTGACATTTTGTTATCAGCTACATTATTTTTAATTACATAAAGTTACGACGTCGGTGCTGGCAAACTTCTTCCTGCAGCACTTCAAATGCATGTTTGGTTTTTTTTTTTCTTTTTACCCTAAAATCAAGTAATTCTTTGAAATGTTTCTGGCCAGTGAAATTCTGTACCTTGGAGCTGTGCTTACCTTGCCTCTAAGCCTTGGTTTACTGCTTGCCTTCCCTCCCTGATGGCTCAGTTTCCACAAACAAAAAAGTATCTATGTATGTCTTTTACACTCTAAAAATTTTGTTTTCAGGACAGTTTAAATACATCATTCCTCCTCCTTTCAAGAGATATGAGTAACAGCAAAACCTGACAGTGTTAAACACAGAGGCCTCCCCCAGTTAAATTAAAAGAGAATGTTAGACTTCAGATCCCCTCCTGATATGTAGGCTTGTCTACAGCAAGGTAAGAGCTGTGTAGTAAAAGAGGGATGGACTTGTAAATCTATGCCCATTTTAGGCAACTCGTTGCATTTCATCATTAGGTATTCCACAAAATTCAGTTTTTCTCCCTGTGTTTTCCTGAGTGACAGTTCCATTAACTTTCTTCTCATTTTCCTGCTCTTTTTTCCAGCAGTAAACTGTGCCTAGGTGCACCTAAGGTCACTGCAGATGAATGTGAAAGCAGTGTCACAAAACCTTGTGCCTTACCTACACAGATCTCTTCCAGTAACGTTAGCCAGACAGGGAAAGGTAAATGTACACACCATGCAACAGACTGATCTGATGCCTCTGAAAACACGCATATTTCTAGAAAAGTCCAAATACAGCTTTGTTTGTAATTTCACTTCTGCCCTCTGATACAGCAGTACACACACGCCATTTGAGGAAGGAAAATCTGAACATTGAGTATGGTACCATCTGTCATGTGAAGCTAATCCACACACAGCAACTTACCTTTGTTTCTGGCTATTGTAATTAACTTGTTTCTAGTCGCATCATTTGGAGTGTCAAAGGAACAGAACGTTCCTCTCCCTCTCACTCTGCTGATGAGATGGGGGTAACGAGCCTGCAAAGAGAGGTGAGGAGGCACACTTGGCAGGTGCTGCAACAGAGGGTGGCAGGCTCTGCTGTGCCACATGGAAACCTGCTGGAGCAGAGCCCTGGCACAGGCTGCACTGATCACAGAGCCTTGTGTCCTGGCCACCCCTTTCTGACAAAGGTCTGGACAGCCACAGGCTGCAGAGCCCAACTGCAGATGGGTTCTCTCCTCACACAGCAGGTAAACGTCTGAGCAGGAAGCAAGAATGAATTTGTGCCCCTGAGCTAGCTCAGGTAGAGTCTTGCTTGGAGCCTCCTGAAGTGAGTGTAAACCCCCTGACATCTAAAAGGCACTCCAGGGAAACCTGACCATAAGTAATCTGCAATGGGCTAGAAAACAGCTCATTCCTGTGCTGCACAAAGCTGCTCACTAGTGTCATCTGCTTCACCCACTGTCAGTTACAATCCTCCCTAAGAGTAACCTTTTCCACTAGTACTAGTTGCATTCTGGCCCTCTAAAGTATAAGGATTATAATTCGTTTTGTCTTCTGCTTGCTATGCCTTGAAGTTCTAGAGAGAGCAGAGGCTGTATTTGGGTTTATCCTGTGTTAAATGCCTTTTGGGAGGTGAACACCTGAGAGCCTACCCTTAAATGCCCATTTGATTTTCTTTTATTGTGTGGGGCTCTGCAGCTGAAGCTGTGAATGAATTTCCCTTAATCAGGGGAGGGTAAAGCTGCAATTCTCTTCCTTCAACAGCCAATGGAACTGTGACAAAACATGAGGTACTCTCCTTTCAGAAGAACTTTGGAGACAACAAAATACTAGCTGTGAGTGGTAACAAAGAATTCTAGCAAAATAATTTACCTAGCTGCAGTCCGTGCCTTCAGATACTTTGGGGGTCACCTTTTATTTTGGAACTATATAAACCCAGCATTCTTTAGTCAGTAAAAGAAAGTTTACTTCAGTTCCAAGTGGGACACAGTGTTTCAGGCTTCCAGTGAGGAACCTAAACGAGCAAGTTATGATTGTGGTCTATCAATTCTCTTATTTCAACAGCCAATGGAACTGTGACAGAACATGAGGTACTCTCAGAAGAACTTTGGGGACAACAAAATACTAGCTGTGTGTGGTAACAAAGAATTCTAGCAAAATAATTTACCTAGCTGCAGTCCGTGCCTTCAGATACTTTGGGGGTCACCTTTTATTTTGGAACTATATAAACCCAGCATTCTTAAGTCAGTAAAAGAAAGTTTACTTCAGTTCCAAGTGGGACACAGTGTTTCAGGCTTCCAGTGAGGAACCTAAACGAGCAAGTTATGATTGTGGTCTATCCCCCAGCTGAGTTCCTCACTCCAATTGCTTAAACTGGATGAAGTCAGATCCTACCTGATGAGCAAATTTCTCCTTCTTTATCTCTGATCCTTCCAGATGTTTACCTGTAAATCCAGCAGCCCAGTCAGCAGTGCTTTCCCAGCATGGGTTGCATTGTTTAGAAGGTCTTCTGTTTTAATAACCTTAATGACTTCAGCAAGCATAAGGTTCTTGGATGGATCTCCAAGCCAGGTATTGAAAATCCGATAGGGCTTGGGAAAGGGTGGAAAGAGAGTACATATTAACAGGGAAATCACTCCAATAGAGCAAAGCAAGCCATCAAACTGGTCATGCAAACAGCTGGTATATGAAAAAGCACTCATTCATCTTGGCAACATTTGTTTCTGTTGTAAGAGCAAAATACAGATGCCCTGCTGAGGAGAAACAAAGGGCAACTGCTTTATGCTACAAATTGAGTGCATTCTGTCTTGCTGCTTTGACATCTTATTGAACCATCACTATAGATGACACAGATATTAGTTTCATCTATACAGGTTTTATATTCAAGCTTTACACTCCTCCCTTACATTTTGTTTCCCCATTTATTAAATCTAAAATGTTCCTAGTGTGAAGAAGAAATCTTGCTGACAGAATCCATACTGCTGACATGCAAGCTCTGAAGGTACCCAGTTGCCTTAGGGAAAAAGGTGCCAGTTTGTGCTTGTATTTTGTACACAAGGTTAGTTCAAACCCAGGTCTCCACTCCCTCCCACCAGCTTTATGACCTTTCTAACAGCAACTGGAAGAGCAGTGAAGTATCTGTGAAATAGCAGCTCCCCCTAGCTGAACCTGCATTACTGAAGGAAAACTTGTCTCTTCCATGGGCATTGCAGTTCCTCATGAATGGGTCACCAGTTAGCACAGAGTTCCAGTTTCACTGAAAATCTTACAGCATTTGGCCTGAACTCCTCTTTGTGGAAAAATCCTCCTGTCATCATCTTCTTACTGAATGTCACCACATCAGCTGGGTCGTCCAGGCCCCAGTGTTCATGTGCCCAGAACTTCCCTGTGCAGCCACCTCCTGTCTGCACCTCATCCACCAGGAACGCGCAGCCGTGCTGGGGAGACGAGGAGCAGGGAACGTGGGCCAAAAGTGCCCCCCTTGGGGAAGGGGGAAATACATGCAACATCCCTCCCTCCTCCCTCACCAATCCCAACCTCCCCATAACCCCCCCTACCAATTCATTCCCTGGGCACTAGATTTCACAGTTAAAAATTCAGCTGTTTTTTCAGAAAAGCAACAGAAACATCTGTTCTACTGAAATTCTCACACATTTTTATATAGGCTTGAACATTTCTAGAGGATACCTGAAAATATCTGGGAGGACTCAGCGTGCCATTTTCAAAGTTCTTGAGGGAAGTACGATGTCTAACTACCCCACCTGCTACTAAGGAGGCCTTTAAAGCTCCCACAGTGCCCAGGGCAGGGATGAAGCCCCCTGGGGACACCAGGAAGTGCTTGCATGTTTAGCTACCACCCCCTGAGCAGTGAAGTATTGTATTACCTTCCTGGCAATATCTCGTAGCTTTCTGAAGAAGTCATCTGAAGCATGATTGTCCCCCCCCTCTGACTGTATTGGTTCTATAATGATTCCAGCCACAATCTTCTTCTTTTTCCTGTACTTTACAATCAGGTCTTCCACCTGTAAATGAACCATTCTGCTTTCAGGACATTTGCACATTTTCTCACAGAAGGATTAAATCTTAGCAACAGAACTTCAACTTTTTCCTGGACACTCCTGGCTACAAAGGTGTTGGGAAGTGCAAGGAATTAACAAGTAGGTCCTCCAGCATTGAACACAGATTGTGCAGAAGGATTGTGTGCATCCCAGTTCCCCCTCCTCAAGCTTCCAAGGAGCAAACAGGGAATCTGCTGTGCCTGCCCTGGCCTGGGCTTAGCAGGTCTGAGTGAGGGTCTTTGCTGTGTCTCTGTGCAGCCTTGCTGGGTGCTGTGGGGCTGGTGGAGCACACCTCAGCCCCACCCTCCACACTCAGGCTGCTGCCTCAGCTCCAGCCACTCCCCACCCTGTCTCTCAGGACTGAGCCCTTCCAAGTGACAGATCCCGGATCCCAGTGAGCCCAACAGGGGATCCCGTGATCTGGTACCTGGTGACAGTTCTTCCCCCTCCAGCTCTGTTCTGCCCACCTTTCCTTTCTCCTGGGCTAGGGAAGGAACAGAGTCCCTGCCCACTCACTCCCTGCAGCCATGGGTAGGATCAGAGCTTTAGGCCAGAACGCTACCACAGAAAAGCCTGAAATCCTGGCACAGCTTTTCTTTCAGAGGATGATACCCGCTGTGCTCTCTCTTAGTCCATGTCCCTTTGGAAGATCTGACAGTCAAATTCGCTGTGATATAATGAACTTCTCCTGCATGTGAAACTTCACTTTGGTAACATTTGTGTTGACCTCTAATTCCAAGTAAGCTGTTCTGAAAGGCAGGGCCAAACTTCTGACTGTAAACAACAGTGAATGCTGTTTTAATCACATGCTGTCCCAACCCCTGAAAACATTCTTTTAATGAAAGCAGTTAACCCCCCTAACGCTATTCATTATTTCAAACCAAAACCAACAGAAAGCTGCCAGTAGATTTTTTACCTCCTCTAAACAACGGGCTTCTTCCTGTTGATTCTCCTTCACAAAGTCTTCCAGGGGATACTTTAGCCTTGGAAATGGAGCAATAGGCCAATCCAGGGATGGAATGTCCAACTTGTGAATTGCTTTAGAGTGAGTTGTAGCTAGGCAACCTAAACCCAGAAAAGCAAAAATTAAAATAATACCTGTCTAGGAACAATACTGGAAAAAAGCTACCAAGAGGTGAAAAATTGCCTGACACCAGGACTGCAGAATGCTGTTTTACTTCATTTTCTGAAATACTGGGTAATCAGATTTAGTCTAGTTTAAGTGGATTGCTCTAAGATGTAAACATAAATTTCCACATGCACAGTTCCAGTTGGGCAGGAGATCCTCTGTCAGTCTGAACAGGCTGCTCAGAGAAGATGGGTTTCACCTGTCCAAAGACAACTGCTCTTAAAGCTCAGAATTACAGCACTCTTGGGTAGCACGTTTAGAACAGGGACTGAGCCGATGTAAAATGGGAAAAATGAGTGACACCTTGTCTGTATATTGTGGTGATTTTACCCCAGGAGTCAGATTTTTACTAGTATAGACAGGAAACCTTGGATTCAGAAATGAAAATAAGACACTTTCAGAAAAGAAATTTTTTAAAGAATATGTAAAATTAATTCACACTGTCACTCAAATATTCTGTTCCAGTGCTGGTGGGGCTCCCAGGGCAAGCCTTCAATAAGCCTGCAGCTTCTCCCCAGTACTGTGACTGAGAGGAGAGCCAGGGAAGGGCGGTGCTGCCGGAGCGCGTTCTTACCCAGGGTCCTCCCGTGGAAGCCGCCCATGAAGGAGAGCATGGCGTAGTCGGGGCAGCCAGGGGCCTGCGGGCAGAGCAGAGCAGGGCAGGGCAG